ACCCCCTTCCAGATGCTCACTAGTAAACCCACAGTAAGTGTGAAAACAACTTCAGTTTGGGGCCGTTGTGTTAATAAGCCCCCCCCCAGTATTATTACGTCACTGCACGGGTTAAAGGGTGCTGACTCGGACCAAGCATGTGTGACATCAGAGCCAGTTAACAGAGAGGAACGCTGGACGTCACAGATGACGTAAAACTACTGCTCGTACAGACGTGTAATTTCAGAGTGTGCAGGTGCCTGGTATGTGTATATTCATAGAGTGTAGACAACTGTCGTTAAGTCTTAAAACCAAAGATGCACATTTCGTGTCCTGGTGATGACGCTGAAATGGGACATTTTCCGTCACAAATCAGTTGTCCGTTGACGGCCAGGGTTTAGATGGAATCGTGATATGGTAAAAGATACATGTACATTGTACGTACAGGATATATGTGTGTGTTTAAAGTCATCTTGAGATCTTATTTATCAGGTCGGGAACGGTGCATGACATGGAATTTGATATGTTGCAAGTTCCTGCCAAGATTACAAGATATGCGTGATTACAAAAAAAACTTCAGTGTAAATTAATATTTTGAGGTGCATTTATTTGCTTCTTTCGCTTTTCAACTGAAATTAATCATAAATTAAAAATTTATTAATTAAAAAAGATAAAAAAGTAAACTCTTTATCTGGATTACAGCAGTCGATCTACAGTGACTGTCCGGACTCCCTATCCAGTACTCTATATACAGTGTAGTCATAGTCGTGTCCATAGTCACCAACGCGCGGCCATGATAAAAATCAACAAAGGCCACAAAACAACTTACAACCAGGATATTAAGAGTTGTTTGTCCGTTCTTGACTCCCCTACAACCCTAGGATGACGTCACACCTATCAGATCTAATCGTTCCCATGGGTGATACCATATTTTTAAATAGCACAACAAAATATTTAGATTTTATTCTAGCGACGCACGTCTAAATATTGAAGAAAATTTAGATGTGCGTCACTAGAATAAAATTTAAACATTACTATATATATTTTACGTAAACTTTGGATGCCGTCCGATCCTTTTTTTTATTTGAAAGACTGGTGCCTCCATCCAAGTCCCGTGCAGCTGGCCGCGGATCTCTTTCTTCGTGCGTGATCTCATTAACTGTGTGGATGTCCTAAACCTGGCGTACCTTGACAAACCACATGAAGTCTTATATCACCTGCTTTGTATGAACACAAACACCGCGTGGTTTACATTTCAGTCATTGGCACAGGTGGGACTGGCATTAACTAAACACACGGATATTTTCAGTCAGATATACCGTGTATTGTTGACAAAAGTTCTGTATCAGCACACTGCGTCTGCCTCAGAGTATTCTATGTACCCCCCCCCCCACCCTACCCCAATCCCCAAGTCAGTAGGGTGGCAGTCAGTTTACGAGCACCTTCTATTTCCGCCAGTTAATCACAGAGTTGTAACACCTGTAACACCTGTGAGCGTTAAGTCACAGAGACCTGGACAGCGAGGGTAGAGACTACTCCTGGACACTAAGGCTAAGGTAAAGTACTCTGTTCTATCATCAGCGATTAAGTCAATTATTTCACAAAGATCTAGACACTGGGGTCTACACCGCGTCTGATAGCGTGCTGCCAGCAGTTAACGCCACGTTAATCAAAGGCCACAGTGTAGAGGATGCGACACGCGCCACTTCACTGACGGGGTCCAAACCGTGCCTCTATTAGCTGTGTTAACCTCGTTTCACAATAGGCGAAAATATACGTGTATCTGAGCGTTGTTTTGACTGTTTTTCGGATTAAAATTAGTGTATTTTCCCCTAAACGTCAAGGTAAGTCAGGCTTACAGGAAGAGAGACGGCAGTGTGTGTGTGTGTGTGTGGGGGGGGGGGATAAGACCAGTTTTTGGGTCATGGTATTGATAACACCCCTGGTAGAAAAAGTATTAAAAACATTCACCATTGCGGATGTTTACCAGTTGCTGAGTATTATAGTTTGATCTTATTGTCATAGTATCACGACTCATGTCGTCGTGTCAATAGTGTCATTTTTCACCTGGCCCCATTCCCCGACAGGAAAGCTTACGGGTGTACAGGGTCGCTTTGACCTGCAATTAAATGTAATTATGTCAAACTAGAACTCGTCAAACTACATAGGGTGTTACGTCAAGTTAGTATGTAGTCAGAATATGTCGGCGACTTAGCGACCTGTACTAAAAGTTGCCAAATAGACAAGTAGTAGTAGGCCTTCTTTTTTAGCTGTCTTATAAATTGTGTTTGTTTGTGTGTGTGTGCGTGCGTGTGTGTGTGTGTGTGTGAGAGAGAGAGAGAGACTGAAAGAGAGTTTTCAAGGAGATTTCCCGGGACATGTAGGATAACAAAAAACTTTAACGTCATTAATTTTCAGGCACACTTGAGAGATCAGGAGTAATTCATGGCAGCCATCACCATGACGCTGCCAAGGGGGACATCGATGACTTTTATTGTCCTTGGAATAGTAACACTGTCGTACGCCATGAATATGACAGGAAGCATGAATATGAACATGGCGAACCACAACATGAACAGTAGCATGAATATGAACATGACGAACCACAACATGAACAGTAGCATGAATATGACTGGTCACAATATGAGTGGCCATAACATGACTGGTCACTATATGAGTGGACATAACATGACTGGTCACAATATGAGTGGACATAATATGACTGGTCACAATATGAGTGGACATAACATGACTGGTCACAATATGAGTGGACATGACATGACAAATCATGACATGAGCGGACATGACATGACGGGTGGTCATGCGGTAAGTAGAAAGGGGGTAAGAGACAGAGAGAGGAGAGAGAGAGAGGACGGGGGAGAAAGAGAGAGGAAGAGAGAAAGAGAGAGGAAGAGAAAATGAGAGAGAGAGAGAGAGAGAGAGAGAGAGAGAGAAAGGAGGGAGAAGAGAAGAGAGTGGGTTTGTATGAGTAGATGTGTCCAAACTAGTTAATGGCAGATTTTATCTTTCTTCGTACGCAGAAACCGTTACCGATCACGATATCATCAAATAATGAGAAGTTCTTTGACCAAAACGGTCGAATATTTCCGATGGTTACTGTTTGGTATCTAGATTATTCTTATTTTTCTCACCTTATGTTTTCCTTTTTGAAAAAGGAGAAACACTCATTGTTAAGTTAACTGATAGATTTCTCCGAAATTGTTGTCATTTACTTATTTTAATTTGTTAATTTCTGTATTTTTAGACTTCATTCCATGTTGGTTTTGAAGAAATAATTCTTTTCCGAGAATGGGTGACTTCAAACGAATGGAGTAAGTCAGTCTCTCTCTCTCTCTCTCTCTCTCTTTCTCTCTCTCTCTCTCTCTCTCTCTCTCTCTCTCTCTCTCTCTGATTACATGTACATATTCAGTTTATACAATGAACTCTGTTTGGCAATGCTCCTCCGATAAATAAATATGATCAAATTTTAGTCAAGACTGTATTTGAGACAGACCTTTTTCCTTTTCAGGTTTTGGACAGTTTTCCTAACAATGCCTTGAGTCAAAGCACACGTCAATCTTAGTCGATATAAATATTTATAAGCATGAGAACTTATTTTACAATTAAATTCATTCTAGAAAAAAGTCCTTTAATAACGCTTTATATATATATATATATATATATATATATATATATATATATATATATATATATATATATATTATCGTTCATTTCTCCATCCTTTCTTGCCTCATCAAAACTTCCTCCATTATCCATTTATCTTTTCGTTTATTCCAGATTTTGCGCTCACGTGCATCTTTTTCTTCATCTTGTCTGTTCTATACGAAGGCCTGAAATCTTTTAGAGAATACCTTAACCACCGGTATGCCGGCAGTGTGGGGGAGAAGTACACCTGTCAAAATGGCGGCGGCGGGTATGACACAAACATCAAGAAGCCAAAAGGAGGGTAAGACTGGGCTCCCATACCTACAGGATCGATCCATCTCCAAAATGTCTCTCGCTAAATTGCTTTCAGCTTAAGCGGCTTAGATGTCTAAAGCTGCTTCACGATAATTGATTGTCCCCTTGTAGCTTCAGTAGGTGTGACAGACATTTAAGCCGTTTAAGTTGATTGCAATTTAGCTAGAATCCAGTTGGAGATAGATCGATCCATAGTTAGTACAATAGGGTCTGGGAATGGTCCCTAAGATCGCATGACAACATTTTTTTTGTTACTGTGATGGTTTTATTGTACAACTAAAATCAAAATGATTTTTGCCCAATGTGTCGATGTATGTCCTGCCGCATTCTTCAGAAAATAGCGCCCAAGGTTGATTGAAGACGCCATCATAGTATCTGAGTGTTTAACGCTGCTGATGAAGTTTTTAGTTAGCATGGTATTTTGATCTAAAACCCACTCAAATGATAAAATGGGTATATTCATTGAGGATAAAAGTAATAGAAAAAATGGTAATAGAATAGGCGTTCGTGCTGACTTTGTATGACAGGTAATACAGGTAAAGTAATCACACCTGTGACCTCTCACCTGACACTGTCACATATAAGCCAGAAATGTTCAGGTATGTCATGACATTCTGTGAAGAAGTCAGCGTCTGCTACTACCTCGTCCCGTCACTTGTCCCGAATTAACTGTTCTCTACTGCAGATAAAGATTTACATTCAGAACCGACGCCGCGATTTTCTTTACCAATGTATTACTTCTTTTAGATAAAAAGCTGTAAGTAAATGGAAATCATGTGCATCTATTGGAAAGCTAACCACGTTTATAACTTAACCTGAGCATAGGGGCATGCCATTAATGTGTTTATTTGAAGATTAGTACTCCGGTCACGTCACTTTTTCATTTCTTTACTAGGTAGGACGTAAGGGGCCATTCAGAATGAGGAGAGCCGAGTGCTAGCTGGTCCACGACCTTAATATGGCGGACCTACATGAAAGGAAGGCCGCTTAATCCTGTAATGGTCTCTCCGCCTCTTTCACGCCTCCCCGCACGTCGTCCCTGCAGGGGCACAGTAATGAAATCTCGTCTCAATTCGACCGGTCGAGGGACGACGCGTGGGGAGTAGTTTGAGAGGCGGAGACACCATTACAGGATTAAGCAGTCTTCCATTCATATAGGTCCGCCATATTTAGGCCGTGGACCAGCTAGCACACGGCTCTTCTCATTCTGATTGGCCCCTAAGACAACAGACGACGAGTTGAAAAACATTCAGTACATTAGGGCTCATTCCCAGTGAAATTGTCGGTCTAATAAGCCCGATCCATACCGCGAGAACTCTCACTGCATGTAATTGGTTTAACAGATTAACACGCCTCATCTTGTTTCCAACCTACTAGTACAATCGCCAGCTTTTCTGTATTCTACTCTACGCCCGGAGGCCTGATTGCATTCAGCGAGAGTCTGCTCAGAGATGGATCGCACTACGTAGACCGAAAGTGGCATTGGAAATGAGCCCATAAACATCAAGTATTAATGAGGTTAGTGTAAGGAGAGATCATAGCTGGGGATATCCCGTGCCAGCACCGTTCTAATGTAAATCTACGGTGTATATCAGCTCGCCTCCAGGGCAGAAATTGAGGTCCGAGTATTGATAAAAACCCTTTGAAAAAATTCCAAAAAAAAAGAAAAGAAGGAAGAGATGTCGGCTACCTGTTGTTTGGCTGGAGGCGGAGCGTTGTCAACGACGAGAATATATATTTTAGGGATCATTTAGAGTGTTTAGTGCAGTGTAGTGTAGTTTACACACACTGGACAATAGAAGTGTCAATCCTACTGAACCAATACTTTGGGGGAGATAAATGACTGTGTAATGATATGCTCCTGGTATCATTTTATTAACATCAAATTTCACAAAATGACCAATAATACAATTCCATGGTACAGCGGTTTTATACTCATTAGTCACATTATAAGTAGACCAGGCATTATAACTTTGATACAGGCGGGGGTGACGCTTCTATTGTCCAGTGTGTGTAGAATAATCCGGAGCCGCCGCTAATTTCGAGAGCATGGAAATACTGCCGAGATCGAGAACTATTGCTTTTCTTTAAGCCAGGAGAGGCCTCACACCTTGGCAGGGGCGGGGGTTGGGGGGGGTGGCAGGTATCACAGGTACTGCCATGGAGAGGGGAAGAGAGGCTTGAAGACAAACACGTCATTAAGCCGACTAGGGACCAGTGTAACAGCATCATGACCCTCACTGTTACTTTCAGGTGTGGAGCCCACATGTGTCGCTGCGTTCACTACCTCCAGGCGTTCCTCCACATCCTCCAAGTCTTCGTCAGTTACGTTCTTATGATGGTCTTCATGCTGCTCAACGTGTGGCTGTGTGTGGCGGTGTGTGTGGGGGCGGGTGTCGGCTACCTGTTGTTTGGCTGGAGGCGGAGCGTTGTCAACGACGAGAATGAACACTGTAACTAACCATACGCCGCCCTCTGATATCAAACCCCCACTAAAATACTGTAATGAACTACACAGGGGGCCACATTCAGTGGCGGATTTAGAGGGGAAGTCAGGGGGGACCTGACCCCCCCCCTTCCATTTCTGGTCTCCTCTTGAAATTATAATTTCGACTAGCTGAATCATAGTTTTAAACCTTACCGTACAGCGGATTGAGAGGGGGGGTCAGTGGGTCTCTCTAGCTGGGGGAAAGAAAGGAGAGAAAATGGCAAAGAAATAGCCATAGAAAATCTGTGAAAACCTAATGTAAAAAGTCTCTCTGTAAGCTTTGTGGAGGGTTAGTGCTTGCCACATATTTCCATTTCTGATTAAAATCATATAAGGCCTATCTGACATTATGATTCAAGAATGGCATATTTATCTGTATACCACGGAATAAATGAATTATATTTTAAACTTTTTAAAGAAAAAAGTTTTTGACTTATTCTTGTTATGAATTAAAGTTGGATTTAAACTTAATGAAAACACTCCAGCATCAGACCAATTTTATTCATAAAAGCAAGACTTCAAACAGGTGATTTTATTTCTCTATCAAACATTTAATCTGCTTTACAGTTATAAAAATGAAATTAAAAAAAAAAAAAACCTAACCCAGAAAAGGCACCGGTATGGACTAGTGTAAACAGTCATGTGAAGTTGATACCGGTACATAATGTGAGACTTTCCTGACCCTGATGGAATCTAATGCAGAAGCATCACACAACTATAAGACAAACTCGCCGCAGACAGACACTTGTGCCATTGCGTTAGGTGAGACAAGTGCTGTGACGTGATGAGCAATCACTGCTGGATTGTGCTTGCGGAGCACATAAAGCGAGAAGAGTGTTATACGAGAGATGGCAATATGTTATATTATCACATAAATAAATTAATTAATAAATAAATTGATTGATTTAATAAACCTCAACTCCTTGAATATTTTAATGGCGTTTTCATCATCCCCCTGGAAGGCACTATTTAACCAGCACATGTACAACAAAGCAGCTACAATCAACCACGTTCAGTACAGTGGCGGATTTAGAGGGGGTTCAGGGGGCTCCTGACCCCCCCCTCCCCTTTGGTTTCCGAAAAAAAAATCAGTGAATCACACTAATATTCCCCTCTTGAAATTAAAGTTTTAACTAGCTGATTTGTAGTTCTTAACCGTTCCAGATGGCACCGTTTGACCTTCAAAACACCAAAATATAATGGGGCCTTTCAGCGGGCCCCAAACCCCACCACAAGGGGCCTAGGTTCGGCTTCGAATCCGAGGCCTGTTATTCATAAAATACACTGACCCTCTCTTCAAATCCTGGCTCTGCCCCTCTCTTCTCCTGTCTTACCAACTGTACATCCCGTTCAGCAGCCAAATAGGTTTTTCTCAAAATTCGTATCGTTGCAATTGCTTTTACACTTTAATTTTGTCCATGTTTTACACATTTGAAAGTTCCTTCTTATTATAAGGGCTTGCTTAAACCTAACCTTGGACCTAAATAGGTCCAAGACCTAACCGTTCCGGTGTGGGGGCTGCCTTTGATCCCATTGTGCTCTTTAACGCCATAGGTGAACCCAAACTAAACCTCAGCACAAAAACGAAGTCACAGGGAAAAAAATCATCTAAAAACGTTCCGTGTCGGTTTCTCAAGCAAGGCCTCGTGTACATCGTGAACTTCAACGATGATGATAAGACCATGTTTGGGGACTGGCTTTGCGCTTGATAAAATACATCTGTACGGCACTCGGGTTATCGACTGTACTGCAAGCGTAAACATGTACAACCAAACTGGCCCTCTGCGTGACAAGGTAGAAAGTTTCCATTTGATCTAAGACCTACCAACGAACTTCTGCGGCTCCGTGGTACTTCCGCGGTCTCAAACGCAGCTATACCCTTGTACTCGGGTTCGAATGCTAGAGTGTTTAAATAACGCAGTTTTTTTGGTAGATATGAAATTTGAAAATTGCATTTTATTACTATAAGAAGTAAAACGTATATTCAGTGGGCGGGTGGGTCAGGCACAGCGGTGTCGTTGGCGTGCGCGACTGAAAAAAAAAAAAAAACATGGTAACGGACAGTCAGGAGTTCCTGCAATCGGGAAGTCACGAACTGATGTTATTGTGACATCAAAGACATTATTTAAAGTTTATATAACACGATTTTGACCCTTATTTTCAAATATCAGTATGAAAAATAGGAAAACAAAAAGATGAAAAATGATTTGGAAAAAATGTTCCGCTGATGAATTCAAGGCATTAACAAGGGGGAACTTTGTCATTGTTGTGTCTACCTATACTTAATAAGTCTCCTCGCAAACGACACATTTCATGCCTACATGTATGATCATCTCCTACGCGTATATTGTTTTATGAAAATATTCCTTCCTGAAAAAAAATCAAATAACGTCCGTGAGCGTGACAGGCTCAGATAACTGCTAGACATTTCCCTTGTCACTGCAAATGACATGGAGTTGCTAATCAGGACGACCTTGACCTCACGAGCCTGTAGATCATGTGACAGTGACTGTGTCAACTAGAGAAGTTATATATTAGGTCTGTAGCGAGGTGGGCGGTCACATTTTACCCGGGAACTACCAGTGACTGGTTAAGCCGTGCCGGAGAGACTTCCAACTTTCCAAAATGGTGAGTAAGAGTTCTGCCTCTAGAGAGAGATTCGTTCATGTTAAACTTGTTGTTTGTGCGGCACTTGATAAACGATCTTAATGAAAACTGCGTGATCATTCAATATTTAGAGTATTAATGGCGTGGGACATGAGAAGCTGTTTTGTTTCTCTTTTAAGCGCTCAAAGTTCACCCAAGAGACATTCGTGTCGTTTATATGATATTTTCTTTTTTAATTTCGTGATAAATTGGACGTTTGGTGTATTAAAACTATTACACTAAATGTTTTCTGGTAAATAGTATTAGTATGTGGATTTGCCAGTTAAAAAAATAATAATTAAAATCCAGTGCTAAGGCACGGCTGCAAGACAAACTTACAGGTGACTCATAAACGTCACTTTTGTGCGGTTTTGCAGCAGAGATATCTTTATCACACCAGTCACCTGTAGTTGTAGTTCATTGTCGTGGTATGTGTGGGACTTTGGCGACATTCCAGGGTTTGAGACAAGTTCCAAGATCTTGCTAAGGGTCTCTATAACGAGTTTCTCAGCTCAGATGTACCTGAGAGATGGCGAGTTTCTAGATGATATTTGCCTTCACTGGTTTTGTGGCCTTGTAAGCGCTGGCATGCTCTGTTTGTTTTCGCTCCGCATGAAAATGGCATTTTTAAGCAGGGTTAGCAATTTTATTACTAATAACCTGACACAACTTGCCATAAGACTACATTAAAGACTGGCTTAATATATGATACCTTACACACAGGATCGACCCCCATGCACAGTTGCTTTAAGATTTGTTCATTTATTACTACAATTCCAGATTGTTGATTTACAATGGCGGGAAAATATTTAAAATCGCGAAATTCATCTAATTTATTCGTCATTGTCCATCCAATCAGGAGCATCATTTATTACTTCACCATGTACCTGTAAATGAACGTGAAATGTTATAATTAGCCCATCAGTGCGTTCATCTCTTGAGTATTTTCGTTGTTGGCGATCCACTTAATGTGGGCGTTAGTCTTAGCATTATCTGAGTCCACACTGAATACCAACCCTATCTAGAACGCTGTGTACACACCTCCTCCACCAGGGAACGCCTTCCTGCTCTGGTCCATGAGGAGCTGCTGATAATTTACACACGACAAGGTGCTGATAATGTACACAGAACCAATAGAACTAATTATCTTTAATGCCTCCTTGTCAAACTTGTCCCCTAGCAAGGTATGATAAGCACCAGACTATCTTGGTTCGAGTCTTTACTTCTGCAAGGCTGATAAAAAAAAAAAGAATATAAAAAAAAATCAATAGAAATAAGAATGAAAAACGGTGAACCGGAATAAGATAACGTGGAACTGGATAAATAAACAAATAAATAAATAAATAAATGAATAAAAAAATAAATAAATAAGAACTCATTTTTGTTTCTTTCTATTTATTTATTTATTTTTGAAAGACCTGGCTCACACACCGTGGTGAACCCCGCTCCCCTGCATAACGACACGACTTAATGGAGATTTCATTCCAGTCACGTGTCACTCCCCATTTAACATCGTTTGTTTCTCTTTTAATTTCTTCTCTTATCGTAGACTTAATCTCATTCAAATACCAGTTGAATGAGCAACTGTAAGCATATCTTGACGGCTAAGATACGGTACGTGGTAAAAATAACTAATTTAAGTTCCGGTTACAAATTGCAAAGATACCTCTTGTCTTCATAGTCAACTGTTTCCTGCTCGTCACTTAAAGGGATAATAACTCTTCGTTTCGGCCAAAAAATGAATTCTCCTGGAGTAAAAAACAAATTTCCCATACTAACCAATGGTTAATGAATCAATTTTTACATTCAAAGTTAGTCCCTGGTTTTTTTCTAAAAAAGTTTGGTTTTTTTGTTAAAATCTCTTAAGAGATTATAACAGAGTATAGCCATCAGTGGAGGTCACATGGTCTAAAAACAAGCTCAGATATCAGAATAATAGCTATAACTGCCGTTTTTGTGGTACAACAGAATATATTATATTGCTATGAGTTATTCACAATGTTTTTATTATGAAATATAGATCTCATACGAATAGTGATTATCCCTTTAATGTTTTACAACCGTGAAACTAACATTGTGAGCACCTATGACTGGGTTCCCATAGATAGATCGATCTAACAGGATCGATCTCCAAGGGATTATCCCTAAATTGCTTTCAGCTTAAGCGGCTTAGATATCTGGCACGCCTACTGAAGCTGCTAAACGATAGTTTTAAAATTGCCCCTACCAGCTTCAGTAGGCGTGACAGACATCTAAGCCGCATAAGTTGATTGCAATTTAGCAATAGAGAGATAGATAGGAGATATATCCATCCACTCAGTACGATAGGGTCTGGGAATGGTCCCTATAAGTAAGCGGCTTTACTAGTATATAACAAGTCTGTCTCAAAATAGCTAAGAAAGTTGAAAAATATATAATATTCATAATTAAATAATTCTATGAATGCTTGGATCAACCGCCAACCCTAAATGGAGACAGACATATCGGTCTGTGTTTGTAACTGATTACAACACATATCTGCTGTCCTTTAGGTGTACTACGTGATTCGTAACTGATAACAACACATTATGTCTGTTGTCATTTAGGTGTACTACGTGGTTCGTAACCGATTACGACACATTATGTCTGTTGTCCTTCAGGTGCATTACGTGATTCGTAACTGATTACAACACATTATGTCTGTTGTCATTTAGGTGTACTACGTGGTTCGTAACCGATTACGACACATTATGTCTGTTGTCCTTCAGGTGCATTACGTGATTCGTAACTGATTAAAATACATGTCTGTTGTCCTTCAGGTGCATTACGTGATTCGTAACTGATTACAACACATTATGTCTGTTGTCCTTTAGGTGCATTACGTGATTCGTAACTGATTACAACACATTATGTCTGTTGTC